AAAAAAAAATACATGTATATTCCACTAAAAGGAGAGAGAGTTAAGTGGTAAGATGGAAAACTTGCAAGACCCAGAAAAACAAGGCACTCTTGTCAAGTTCCAGCTTTCATAGTTTTCACTGTAAATGGTTCTGTGAGTCCCACCTTTTACATGAACATATGCCCATTACTCTAATGGTGGCACAAGTTCATATTTAGTATATCATGCAATTAAAGAAAAGTGACAATAGAAAACTGAATTGCCAAGATGCAAACTATCTAGAAGAGATCTTCTCCTAAGAAGCCATATGGGATAGAAAGCACAGTAATGATAAACCAGACAAAATAAACACATAGAAGAAATCATATGCAGAAATCTTGGCTAGGTAGCATTTTAGGCAAAAGCCACAATTCAATCAGTCCAGAGGTAGACAAATTAATTCACTCTCCAGGATTAAACACAGTGGTATTATGAAATGTTCTTCCTCACTGCAAATCATTCTATAACTTAGGAAAAATGCATGACATGCAAACACCCTACACACATCATCAATAATTAAAATACAGATTCTTCAGAAGTTAGACTTCAGAAGAAAAGTGGCCAACTAGTCTCTTAGTTGGTTCTTGTATGAGCACATGTACTGAGGGGATGGCAGGGGAGGGAGAGTCTTGACGCAGTGTTCAGACCCGATGCTGTAGAGGTAGACAAAGGAACCAGGAAAGTGAAGAAACCAACAGCCTCTATAATTGTATGGTGTTCTCTTTAAACTTTAGGAAGTGACAGTGGAAATCTGTCAGGCTTACAACTTAAGATTTTATTACGAATTATTTATGTGTCTCCTTCGTGTTTTAAAATAGACTAAGAACCAGGATTCACTGAAGTTTGGCAGATGACATATGCATACTCCAGATGGGTGGCAGAAGGGGGACTCAGTATAGTCAAGTGGGTAAATGGAGGAGCTATGGGCTAGAAGTCCAGGCCTTTGGTTGCAGTTTTGTCACTAATTCCTTGTGTGACTTTGGGCTGATCATCTAACCTTTATGGGCCTCAGTTAACTCTTCAATAAGACCAAGAGGCTGAAAAGCCTAACTTCAATGTTCCCTAGCTCTAACATTCTGATACAACAAATCTCAATCTCAAATTTGATATCCATATTCACTATGATTTCATATTTAGCTCTGGTGGCACAGCGGATAAAGCACTTAGCTGCTGACCAGCCAGAAGGTCAGCAGTTCAAACCCACCAGCCGCTCTGCAGAAGGAAGATGGGACGATCTACTTCTGTAAAGATTTTCAGCCTCAGAAACCCAGTGAGGGTCACCATGAGTTGGAATCGACTTGATGGCGGGGAGTTTGGTTTCTGGTTTGTTTTTGGGCAAATAAGCAAAAGAAAGTTTACTAAGGTTCTCTGTGAGACTGACAAATGTCAGCTGTGGGGGTAGGAAAGCTGGCTCATTTCTGGGCTTGAAGCCTACTGGTCTGCCAGCTTCCCAAAGCGACAGGAGGCTCCTGGGAAAGAGAGAAAAAGAAGAATACCCAGCAGGTCATGCAAGTATAATTTTACATGGACATCCCAAAATTCACAAACTCACTGGCATAATAACAAGCTTCACTTTTTATATGAAGATGACACTATTATCCTGACAGCAATAAGACATATGCTTTGAGCTGTTTCTTTCTAAGCAAGGATTTTAGTCCATTCCATTCTTTTGCCCCATTGTGTCTGTGTGTATTTGCATGTACACAAGTGTGCAGGAGTTTATGTATAGAAGAGAACATATTATTAAATAGTTGGGAGATTAGTGGTATCCTCGAAAAGGGATAGGAGAAGATGGAGGGAGAAGTGAGCTGATTGTTAATGCTGTTTTATTAAAACTGAGTTTAAGAGCCAATAGTAAATCTAACTCAAAAAATCTAGAAACCATCTACTCCAAGTCCTGTTTTCTACTGGGTTTAAGGTGACCAAAGACCACACAGGTAACATAGTCCTGAAGGGAACTGTAGATGTGGGATTGGAGTTCAGAAGCGAGTCAGAGCTCTGGGTGAGGGCTGAAGGCTGAGGCCAGAAGTGACAGCTGAGGGAACAGTGGGTCTCAGGAAC